GGCTTGTTTTACAACGTCGTTGCCAAGCGACGAAAACCCAATCCCGATGGCAAACACCGAGGGAAGGTGTGTGTGGGGGGGGTACAATAGTTGGGGCCGCTCCTTTTCGTCTGCGATTTGTAGGTCATTTGTTTGCGTGTCCCATTGGTTTGGAGAAGGGGGACGTCAGCCCGATTAGTTGTTGAAGTCTCGGGCGAGGATTTTTTTTTACGTTTCCCTGCCTCCATCTTCCGGTTCTCTCTTGAAGCAGACTACTACCGCCCTCCGCCTGATGTTCAACATTGATAAAAATCGTTTCTTCGCTCATGCTCCCCATACGGCCTGGTTCTCACTCTTCGCCCTGCGTTCAACACACGGCAGCTGCAGGTAGAGCCGGCGTTTTGGCGGTGGCGGTAACGTACGTCGAATTTACTCGGGCCGTGCATGTGCCGCCTACCAAACCCTGGCCTACCCCCGAGCCCCTTCTCTCTCATTCTCTGGGCCCCTGCCTCAAAATCGACGAAACCCTTGCTGCGGGCGCGTCGCATTTGTGTGTGCTTTTTCGGCAGCCGTCCCGCCTCGCCCCTGCCCCCCCCGCAAGCGGACCCACTCGGGTACATGAACAAGGACCAGCTCAACAAGTTCCGCACAGCTTGGTGAGCGAGTCGGACCACGCACTTTGGTGGTCTCGGCTTGGTTTGGAAATGTGTTTTGATTGGGGGCACGAAAGATTTGCTATCGTGTGCACAGCATGATTTTGTCTTGGTTTGGAAACATACTTTCGATGGGGGGCACGAAAGCATGAAATCGACCAGGATGTGTTTCTGCGCAAACCACCCGAGGGGGGTAGGACTGGGAGTGCGAGGGGTTTCGTGGTTTCAGTTTTCCTCAAAGTTGCGGAAGGATAAGGATTGATTTATTTGATACCGAGGTACCGTAGTCGGTGTATCGACGCTGCGGCTGTTATTGGAGCGATGGTCGGTCGGCCGTCCGACGAGCAGGAGAGCGACGCCGCTGGTAAAGCATGTGTTGAAGTACAATGCGAGAGAAGTCCTTGTAGGATCTCAAGGGGCGCACGAAGGATGATGCCTGAGTTTGCATAGGTAGGTACATCGATAGATGCACCGGGCTGGGCTGTCGCGGCTGCAGGTGGCGTATGTAAAAAAAACTTGCAAGGGATGTTGGTTGTCTTGTCGTTGTTGTGTTTTCACCTTAACAAACCAGTCCGGTCTCCGCTCAGTACCTTCTCATATCCGTGCTGGTCCAACTGACGCGGACGCCTTCCTTGGTCATAGCCTGAACTACCCCCGAAAAAGGGTTCACACTTAGTGCTATTGCACGCCCCTTACTTTTATGAGTCTCTAAATATCGAAGAACCCCGTTATGTTGGTGCCTTGTGTCGTTTCTGGTAGGTGCACCCGGTCCCACCCCCACGTGGAGGAGTTCTGCGAGCACGGTCACGAAGTGGTAAGAACTCTCATCCTTGCTAGCAAAGGAAGTACTCCTGGTACCCCCTGCCTGCCCCATCCTACTGTAGTGTAGGAGAACATTGGCGAGCGAGATCAACTGCTGGCCCTAGGCTTGTCAACGAACGCCGTGATTGGTCGAGATAGGGTATGCCCGTCCTCCGAGGTGCGCGTGCGAATTGTTGTGCCGCCGGCAGTCGTCTCACTGCCTCTGCCTGAGCGGCGTTTCCGTGTTGGGGGGCTACTGTACTACACCGCGGTCGCGTGTATGTGTGTTAGGCGCTGCTTCGATTGTCCTGAAATATTTGTCGTTGTTTGCACAGGTAGGTAAGTGCCGAGGCTGCGGCGGACAAACGAAGGTGGTACATTCATACCCCGGAAAACGACGTCATGTCCGTGTCCATCGTGTCCGTGTGCCACTTGTGCGGCGCCGTCTGTGTTATTTGCTTCCTTTGCGTGTGTGTTGAAGCCGCCGCCGACGTCACCGTCCACTCGTGATGCGCTTTTGTTTGTTCCCCCTTTTGTTTTGTTTTCCTCGTTCAGTTTGTTTCCTTTGCGTGCGTGTTGAAGCCGTCTCTGTCCCCTTCGCCCAACTACGAGCGCCTGAGACTATACACTCCGGAGTTGAAGTGTATGTGTTGATTGACGGCCATGGGGGGCGGTTCTGCGTCGTATGTCGCTCGGTCCTAGAAGCATGCATACTATATACATGGTGCTTGACGACTTCTTCCGCGTCGTTGACCTGCAGGTGAACCACGGCTGGCTGCGGCGGGACCCGAGCAAGCATCCCTACCTGCCCCGACTGTGCGAGAGGATCATACTGCCCGGGCCGGGGGGGGAGTACCTAGACGACTGCACGAGGGGGAGGTCTTGCCCGAACGCGCACAGCCTGGAGGAAATCCAGTACCACCATCAGGTGGGGGGGGGGGGGGGGGGGGACGGGTGTTCCATTCCCCCAATTTGGAGGGAGCCTTGTCTAAGCGGACANGGGGGGGGGGGGGGGGGGGGGGGGCGGGTACTCATGGTAAACAAACGCATGCCGCACGTAGTCGTTAGACCATGGACCTCTCGCGTGGGAGGAAGCGGGGTGTACTCGCGTAGACGCATAAGCCGAAGTCGTCATTGTTAGGTCATAGACCGGGAGTTGTGTGGAAAACGATGGCATGTGCTTCGCATCGTGAAAAAATAGTTTGTAGTTTTTTTTTTTTTAAGAATGGTCGTGCGGATATGGCGCTGAGTACTACTCGCCCTTTTCCCTCTGCCCTCCCCGCGAAGAGGTTTCTTTCGAACCTATTGTTTTCCCTCGGAAGGAGGCCGTAACATATTGGTAAACGTTTTCCTATTTCGTGTATTGCCTCGCCTCGCCCTCCTTTCTGTCTCTCTGTCTCTCTGTCTCTCTCGCCCCTTCAATACTCAACATCCTCGAACCATCCCGCTCCACTCCGAACCGAAAAAGCTGCCATACAAGACAGAAAAGGGTCTGGCACAAGTACCCCACGGTCGACCTGACATGTCGTATTGCATACCCCCGCCCCCACTGGTCCCCCCTCCCCCGTCCCAACAAAACATTTCCTCTAGTCGTACAAGACCCAGGTGTGCCCGCACGGCAGTAAGTGTCGCTCCAGGGCTTTCTGCCCACACGCCCACATCCTGGGAAGCGACAACGACATCGCCAGCGCGGCGGCCGCGGCCGCGGCTGCGGCGGGGGCGGCGGCAGGAGGGGGGAGCGCTTCGAAAAGGCCGTCTTCCGTCATTCGGCGATCCTCGTCTTCGTCTTGCTCCGCTTCTCCCCGACCTTGCTCTGTTGATGCCGCCGCCGCCGGAGACGGTTACGGGCGTGGCGGAAGCGGCGGCGTCGGGGGTGGCAGGGTGGCGGAGGAAGGGTGGCAGACGGTGGCGAGGAGGGGGAGGAGGGCGCCGAGTCCAGCGGAGAGCGAGATTCGGGTGGGTGGGTGGGTGGGGTGGGTGCGCGCTGTGGTGGCGTCGGTTGCCCGCGGGTGTCATCTTGCTTTATTTGTGAAACCCCCCGCGCTGTATCATCGTCTGCACGATCCTGCATGTTTGAAGATGGCGGGATGAGATAGACGAAACACAGGCACAGAGAGAGAAATATTGAGACAGAGAGAGGCAAGAGACCGGGTGGGTGCGCGCGTAGTGTCGTCGCCCACGGTGTTGTGTCCTTGCTTTGAACAACGCCCCGCGTGGGATCGGCTGTACGATCTGGGACCGACCAAGATATCACGATCGGAAAGAGAAGAAGAGAAAGAATGTGAGGGAGCGAGAGAGAGAGAGAAAGCGAGAGAGAGAAAGAGAGAGGGAGAGAGAAGGAGCCGAACGATACCTGGCGTTGGGCGCTTGCTATTTTCTAACACCGCCATCCAATGCAGAAGAAGCTCTATTTCGCGCTTGATCTGTACCCATGCCGGTACGGGTTCACCACACCTGCCCGCCTTGATCCCCCTCCCCGTTCTGCCATTTGTGTCTCTCTTCTTGTCTCCTTGTGCCCCTCGGTTCGGCTATTGTCCGTGTGGTGTGTGTGTATGTGTGCCGCGGGTTCGTCCTTGAATTGCCGATAAAATTTGCTATTTGGTCTCCGATTGGTTTGGTGCCCCGTTTCACGCCGACTTACAACCATCCTGTTTTGCTCTCGCCTGCCACGGTACCGCACGTACTTGCCGGAAGCCGCCTTAATAGAGGATTCAGCGAGCGAGCACGATCAACTGTCCACTGCTGGTACGATGTGTTCACGTGTTTCTTCCGCAACTGCTTCCCCTCCCACTCTCTCTCTGTACCACCCTCTTTCTCCCGGTACCTCCATTTCTCAATTTCTCTCTGCATCTGTCTCTTCTCTCTCCCCCTCAAATCTCCTTCGTGTCCCGCTCGATGACGCCGCAGGCCTGGGCCCCACCCGCCCGCATTCGCTCCCGCTCCTGGTCTGCCTCCGACCTCTTGAGCCCCAGCGCTGAAGGTGGCGGGGGCGGCCACAACCATCATCGAGGCTCGTCCAGGGAGTTCCGGTGCGTCTCGTTTACCAGAAGAATGTTATTTGTGATTGTCAGCGCGTTCTGCGTTTGGATTGACTGTCAGCAAGCGGTCTGATTGTCAGCAAGCGGTCTGATTGTCAGCAAGCGGTCTGATGGTCAGCGAGGGTTCGTTTGTGAGGAGATAAATTTATTTCCTGATTGTCAGCGAGCGTTTTGGGTGTCAAGTTAGTTACCTCTCGTGCATTTCGAGAAATATTTTTTTTTTTTTCGGGGGAATATTTGCTTCCTATTTTTTTTTTCGACAAGGCTCGGAGGTGATACATGTACTGGCTGGCTGGCTGGGAGAGAGGGGTGGGGGTTGCTCGTGTTTCCGTGTATTTCATTCATGCCTTTGTTGTTAGACCGGTCACAAGGCCTCCTCGGGAGGACGGAGCATCGCGAAAAAAGAATCGGCCCACACGGAGATTCGAACTCCGGACCTCGACAACCCGAATGTCGAATCATACCACTAGACCATGTGGGCTAATTGCTGGGAGCCCAGTGAGGTAATGTCCCTTTTCATTGAATCCGCACCACTGCCATTGTTAGTGTTTGTTTTGACACAGAGAGGCCGCGCGAGCGACGGCGGCGAGCTAGCCGTGCGACTGAACCATTTTTGCGTGTCTTGTCGTGTATTTCATTTTTCTTGATTTGTTTTGTGGTTGTCTATCGTCGTGGTTTGGTTGTGTTTGTCTCGTTTCTTCCTGGGTTCAACTTCTACCCACCCGAGCCTATTTTTACAATACGCACGCGGAGAAACGTGACGTCAACAACGAGCAATGATTGGATATAAACGATCGGTTTCATGAACGCGTAGAATTAAGTGGGAAGTGACGTTCGAACCGAAACACGCACAAGAAAGGGGTTCTGATTCGATTGATTGCAATTCCAACACAGACAAACGTGGATCCGAACACCCTCCTCCGGTCGTCCTAATATTTTTTCTCTCCCCCTTTTTCCTTTGCCTTCTGTCCACAATCGGTTCAAGATGCACTGCAGGCAATATAATAGCCTATACATCCGTCTGCTCCTTGATGAACGTTTTCGTACGGTACACTGACGCCCATTTTGTTCTGGTGTGGTGGTGCAGTCATGCATGTATCTATCCAGCACCTTACCTTTCGCAATTTCTTGGTAATCTTGCGCCGTCGTTATCTGACGAGAGCAGGAGGAGAGCCACGGGAGTCACTGGCCTCCTGGCGGCCCTACGGAAGCGAAGCGCGGACGTGATGCAGCCCCCTGCCAAGCACAACGAGCTCTTGCGGTGAGAACGCCTCCTTTTCCTTCTTCTTTGGTCGTTTCTATGTTTTGTCCATAAACTTTCCTGTGACACGTCCTCCTGGGTGGTGGTGGATTGCACCAGTACGTAAGTGTTGGTTGTTGGCAAGTAGTAGTCTACACCCCAGCGAAAATGTTCTTCTTGTAGTGTCATCGTTGAAATTTGATTGTAAACACGTGCGCTACATAAATATGTGTATTTCAAAAGGGATGGGGGGGGTGGTGGGCCGGTGGACGAACGGGCGGGATGGCGCCGTGATGTTTACTCCATTAACACGTGGCGAGTCTCAAGCGTTGAAATGGAGCACATTCACGGATTATTGTTGTTTTTGTTGTGTTTGAGGAGATGATCGCTGCCATCGCCTTCATCTTCGCCTCCACCGTTGAACCAAAGAACACATGAATGCATTACACGTACCAAAAACATGCGTTTAAGCTCCCTTCTGGGGCGGTTCGCGCTGCTCTCTCTCTCAACAACGAAACCGAAAAAAACGCGGGTGCAAACGAAAGCAGCACCATCTACAGCACTCTGCGCCGGCGCGAGCCCAACGGCTGCGACGAGAAGGAGCTGGTGAGCAGGGTCTTCCACGCCTCCATGTCAGCCTCGGCGGAACGAAGGGGGCGAGGGGGAGACGTGAACGCTGGCACCCCGGCCGGCGTTTCGGTAGCAGGAGGAGGGGGTGAAGGCACCACGGGCGACGCTCCCGAGAGTCACCGTTTTTCGAAGACCAAGGTTCGGGGTGCGGTGACGCTCCTCAAGTTCGCACAGGTGTGTGCACATGTGTTTTTTTTTTCTCCTTGATATACCACTGGACCGCCGGGGCGAGGCCGGTCAGTACCTTCAAAGTAGTTAATAACGACCGCGCTAACTGACTGACCAATGAAGAGAAGACGTCGGTCAGTCTTGTGGCGGGTTGTTAAAAAACGAACGGTTTGTGTTTGAATGGTAATTGTTGGCATCGACCGCGCCAACTAACCGACTGACCCACCAACGAGAGCGGTGCGTGAGTGTGCGTGTCCGGTCGTCTCGGATGTTTCGTCTTTTTTCTTTCGTCGATCCGTAGCGCGGTGTTTGCTCCTCAGCGAAGACTTGTTTCTTGTGTATGTGCTTTCTGTGTATTAATTCATGGCTTTTTCTTCCTTCTCCTTTGCTTCTTGTTTTTTTTGTGGTCGGTGGGGTTTCCTTTCCAACCGCTCTTCTTCTACAGTAATTTTCATCGGAGATCCCCCCATTCTTGCAGATCCCGGCCTTCAAACAGCAGTGCTCCTCTTCACGCATCTTTGGTATCTCTTGTTATTTTTTCATGTACGGTGCTCTGACTTGTGCTCTCTCCCCGTTTGTGTTTCATGTGCGGAAGGCGGTGCGGGTCGGGCGGGGCGATACCGCGGGACAGCACGTTCTCTACGTGGCCTACGAGCTCCCGACTTTCAGCGATTTCATGGCGAGGCACAACAGCCACCTCGTCGACATGGGTGAGAGAGAGAAAGAGAACGAGAGAGAGAGAGCGAGAGAGAGAGAGAGAGAGAGAGAGAGAGAGAGAGCCGTCGCGCATTATTGTGTTTCTTCTGTGGAGAGATACCGGTCAGAAATAGCCACCTGTTGTTGTTGTCGACATGATTGAGATTTTTGCACGTTGCTGTTGTTGTATTTCTTGGTGGTGGAAGATGGTTATTGTCTGCTTTTCATCCTGTCGTTGTTGCGTTCCACACCGACGTCCGCGTCCCCTTCGCGAGAAGAATTAAGCTATTCTTGTCCGTCCCGCGCCCCCGGGATAAGTTGCTCATCCATCCATGGTGTCGACGGGTCGGTCTCTTTGGTCATTGCCACCGCTTGATGGGCCCTTGAGGATGGATGGATTATACCAGTTGTTGTTGTTGTTGTCTTCACATTAAAGATCGTTCCGTTCTCGCTACCCAGTACCTTCTTCTGTCTGTACTACCGTAATAGTCGGTAAGATGGCACCCCCGTGTTATTTACCGTTTTTTCTGTAGCATATTTCTCCACAACCAGTGGGGAACAGAACCACTGGCGAAAAGGGTAGTTTTGGAAACATCTCGTCGAGAGCTTTCCTGACAGGTATTGGTTGGTGTTCGCACCCTCCTAGTTGTGGAGAAATACGCTACAGAAAAACGGTAAATAACACGGGGGTGCCATCTCTCCGACTATTACGGTAGTCCAACACTTGACGCGGTCGATTCCCGTGGCCACTGGCTAACTTACCCAAGAAAGGTATACCGATCGGATGGGGAAAATAATCTCACATGAATCATGTTTTACCGGACGGAGTAGCGGCTTCTTGGGGGGGGCGTTACGTACTTGATCAGGAACGTTCCAAAGAACTTTCCCAGGGTCTGGCGTACTCTCGACTTGTCCTGTCGCAACCAACGCCGTGCACACATATTTCAGCGGTGGCAGGTTGTTGTGACACCGAGTCGCTGCCATTTTCCCTCCTTGTTCTTGGAGTGCATGCCGGTCGGGCACGCATGCAGCAGTTTCGGATCGTCGAAAGCGACAAGAACGAAAGGCGTGTGTAATGTACAGCCTCCATCCTCTTGCTTCTCCTCTCTCTCTCTCTTCCGACCAACCGCTGTATGCCGTAACTCCGCCGTACTTGAGGGGACGAAGGAGCTACCACACAGACAAGAGACTAGACCCCGGTCACCGTAACCCTTAAACTAATCCCTAACCTAATATGCCCCGGAGCGAACTTTTGCGGCTCTGCTCTAGTTACTCTCAGATCAGGCAATCTACTTACTCTCAGATCAGGCAACATTGTAAGGCAAAATGACCACCCTCCGCAATTTTTTCACGCCGGAAAATAGGTCGTCTTAAAGCTCCAACGTTGCCGCCGGGTAATGAGTGGCACCTCCTCCTCGTACCACGTCTAGTAGTGGTAGCCCTTTTGCCTTAGCACCCGTGCATGTGTCCTTGCGCCCGCTGTGTCAGCGCAAGGCCTAGCCTTCACTCTTAGCACCCGTGCACATGCCCTTGGGCGTGATGTTTCAGCACGAGAGCTTGGGGTGGACATGACGGCGATGGACTGGAAGAGTCTCCTGGAGACGGAGCAGAGCTCGGGCGGGGGAGGGGGGCGCCCGATTCCGTCAACAAGCCCCACGGACCAATCAGAGGTGAGCTCACCCCATTACGGAAGGACCTGCTAGCCTGCCGCAAGAGAACAATCATGTTTCACGCCACCATTGTTTGACCATGGCGAGTGAACAAGCGCTTGACGGTCCACGGGTGGCTGGGATCACAGCTCTTGACGTGTTTTTTCCGTCTGGCGTACGTCGATCATCTAAGGGTGCCACCAGCCTATCCCAGATGATCCTACCCCTTCCGTACCCCCCACGCCTTGCAGATCAATGCTCACGTGGCCTCCTGCCTAGATCAGACTGCGCAAGCACCCGGGTTTGACTCGCCCCCTCTACAAACCGTTCATCACCGCACGCTATTTCAAACGTTTTTGCTGTTACCCATTCCCCGTCGCATACCTCCCCCTCCGCAGAGCTCTGCTTCAGTCGAAAGCCCCGCTGCCGGTGGCGGTGATGCTCCGCGTTTGGTGTGGGTTACGGGTTCGCCGAATGGCGCGCACCGCCGCCCGTCTCCGTGCCCCAAGCCGCCTTTGTCCCAGCAGCAGCATCAACAGCAGCAGCGGTTTGTGCACGGAGCCCCATTGCCGTCTCCGCCCTCCAGGCAGGGAACACCACAGTCTCCCGCTGGGCAGAACGGGGTAAGATGAGTTGAGGGCGACATGCTTGGGAATGACGGTGGTATGTGCGTTGCGTGCACATGCGAGAGAGACCGGGAGACGGAGACAATAAGAGACGTGGTATCACAGACAAAGAGGCTTCCTTACAGCTAGCTGTGAAAGCGCGCGCCGTGCCGAGTGTGTGTAGTGCGGGGGTGGGTGCAGTACGCCTGAAAGAGGGGCGTGCGCAACAGAACAGAATGGGCTCCCTCTCCCCTCCGATACGAAGTGTTACGCGACGGCATCGACGAAAAAGCAATAGCTCTTGGGCCGAATCTTCGAAAACAATCGCACAACCTACAGGAGTGTATCGCACGATTTTTGCAGTTGTACTTCACCTTTGCTTCCTGTTTCGGAGCGAGTGTCAGGAATGTTGTTCGAACCTATATATATACCTTGGAAGGGTAAGTCACAAGACGAGGATCGGGCCTTACCACAAAGCGTACTCGAATTATTGTCGATCGAGGTCCTCGCCATGGGTGACCTGATCATTGCACCCCCACCCACGCCGCGCCGTAGTGTGTTCGCGAGCCATTGCCCCGAAACACGGGTCAACGGGAAAGCTCCCCACGTCTTGTCTAACTCTTCGACTTTCTCCTTGATGCCTCGTATGGATGCCGCGGACTACTGGCTCGTGTGCCTGCTTGCTTTCGACCCTTTCGACCCAACAGCACGGCTGCCGCAGCCTATCTTCGAGCCCCACCGTGCAGTCTTCGCCCCGGGACAACGAGCTGCAGTTCGCCCCCCGAGCTTCGTCGGAGCACGCCCTTTGGCACGGTGGTCAGCTCCTGCAGCTTCAGCCCACTCACCCGCGGCCAACCCAGCAGCACCAGCAATACCACCACCACCAACAGGTGGGGATTCAGCAGTACATCCAGCAGCTCCCCTCACCGCAGCAGCAGCTGTCCCAGCCGCCGCCGCCGCCGCCGCCGCCGCCGTCCTCTGCCGCCGTTGGCGGTGTCTGGGGGCAGCAGGCCGCTGGCCCACAAGGGCTCCCCCTAAGGGGGCTCCAAGGTGTCGGCCCCCCTCAGGCCGGCCTCGTCTCGCCGGCAGCGCCGTCCCCGACGGCGATGAAGCAAGGGCAGGAGCAGACGCTACTGAGCATGCCGCTGTCCCCGCCGCCGCCGCCCGCGATGGTTTCCGCCCAAGTTGGGGGGGTGGGGGGATACGGGATGGTCCTTCCACTCCACGGATCCCCGCTCAACCGGTTTCTGGGCGGCGGCAGTCAAGGGCCTTGCAGCCCTCTCGGGTACGGCCTCGGCGGAAATGGGGGGAACTTGACACCGTCACCCCAGCGGCAGCAGCAGCAGCAGCAACAGCAGCAGCAGCAGCTTCATCTGCCTGTGCTCGCGCCGCATGCCGCTGTCGCTGCTGTGCAGCCTCATCAAGTCTACGGCTTTGGCCACGTCCAGCAGGGGACTGCTGTTGTCTGCGGCGGCCAGGTTCACCACCCAAGCAGCCACGCGGGACTGAGCTGGGCGCCGGGGCTAGTCGGGCAAGGGCCACACGGCGGCGGTGGAAGCGGCGGGGCTTCGCGACAGATGACCATGGAAGAAGCGGCGGCGGCGGCGAGGGCGGGGGCGGAGGGTGTGACGGAACCGCCACCTCCGCTTCCTTCTGCTCTCGGTCAACGCGAGAGCGGGGAGCAGTTTCCGGTGGGAACATCGTCGTCGGCACAGAGCCTTCCCGGCGATGTCAATGGACCGACCGGCGGTGTCGGCGGCGGTCGTGCTTCTTTCTCCGGCGCCCCTTCGGCGGGGGGTATGATGCAGGCCCCGGTCCCGGTCGCGCTTGAGGCCAGGAGGCAGTCCTCGCTGCCCCCGCTTTCAGGATCGTCGCTCCAGCCAGCGTTCACCATCTCAGGGGCTAGGATGGCGCACACGCCGTCCGCAATCGCTTCCCGTAGGCTTGGCTTTCCTCCAAGCGGCGGAGGAGAGAAGGGAAGTGACCCGCGGGCCGCCTCGGGTGCCACCGGGTCTGACGCAGCGGCGGCGGCGACGGCGGTGGCCGCTGGCGGGGGTGCTGCAGAGGCCTGGGAGCGGGAGAGGTCGCGGTTTGGCGTGAGAGGGAACAGGCCTTCCCCGGTGGAGTCGAGGATCGCCGCTGTGGCTATCGCCGCTCAAAACGCGGCAGCGGCAGCATCGGTGGCGGCGGCAGCAGCGGCAGCGACGGAGGAGAACAACAACCGCGCTTCGGCGGCGGCTGTTGGCCCTGGCGCCGTCCCCCGTGACAATTTCTCTCCTCCTGAGCCGGCGGTGGCGACGACAGACTCGACCGCACCCGCTGCAGCGGTGGCGGCGGCGGCCGCGGCGGCGCCCAGTTTCGCGGGATCCGCCGCCAAGGGGACGGCGGAGCTGCCGGTGAGGCACCCCTACGCCACGGACAACGGGGTAGATGCGCTGGACGTCGAGTTGGGAGAGCTGTCGCTGGAAGAGATGGGGGGGGGGGATGACACGACTGCGCTGCCGGGGTTGAACGAGATCGCCTCCAACAGTCGCAGGTGATATTTTTTTGGGTGTTCACACCGAATGCTACTCGTGCGAGAGTGTTTTGCCGCACGGCCGCGCTGATGGCCGTCGTGGTATGGCCGGGAGTGACAAAATCATGTTCCGCTCGGGCATATTAGCCTGGTGGTTGGACGTGCCTCGATGGGGGTGGGGTGAGGTGCAGGATTCCGGTGCCGCATGTAGGAAGCCGCGCCCCTTGTCTGTCGTGTCGAGACGTTGGTCTTTGCGCTCCTCATGCCATTTTTTTTTCACCGCTCTGCAGTGGTTAAAGCGCTCAATATTTTCCGCGTTGCCATCATCGGTGTATACCGCCTCCACAAGGCTTCCAATAACACTCGATTCGCATGTACTTGTGTCAAGCGTGTCTGGTAAGGTGGCGCATGTCGTACGCAGAAAGATCAATCATGGATAAACGTGCAAAAATGGTCCAGTTTTCATGCCAACCGCCTTCGCACCCGCCACGTCGCCGCGCCGCCGCCGCCCAACGTCTCATGTGCCAAAGGTACAAAATGTTCTGAGCATGCCCATTCAGGCAGGAGAAATGGGAGGGGGCGGGGCGGGTGACGGTGAAATGGGTTTCGTTTTGGGACATACGGGAGGAGAAGCGGGAGGCAGTACTAGATACCCCCGCCTCCACAGACAGCCTGTATATTCACGAAGCTGATCTGGTTCTACCTGTGCTGGGCGTGGTTCCGTGTGATGGAGGAGGAGTAGGGGTGGCCGGTGGAATGATGAAAGAAAAGGTGCGCTACACGTCCAAATCAGTACCATTGTTTTCGTACCAGTGCAAGGTACATAGCAAGAAGCATCTCTGTCGACAATATGTAAAATAGTACAATACGGGAGTGGTGTTTCGGTGTGTGACAGAAGTGAACTCTGGCGTGGAGGTGACTTGTTTTCGGGCAGAGACGGAGACGGGCTCGGCGGTGGACGATGGTGTGACAATACAGGGGCGTGATGATGAAAATCAGCGCAAAGGATCCGGTAACGTGTACGATACGATCAAGATGATAGGGCGGGGGGGGGGGGGGTGGGGAAGGGGG